AAACTGTAATGGGCAGTCGCTTGTACCCAAAAATAAATCAATCCAAAAATATTATAAAATTATAAAAAATGTGTTATTTTAATAAAGTTTGGCAGTATATCGTTAGATCACAAACTCTTTCTATAATTCACGTTATGAACTAATCAAGTCATAACAGTTTAAGAATCAATTTCATTATTTGCCTTAGTTTATGAATCAACCTTATCTATTGCCTTAGAATATAAATTTTACCACGAAATCAAATTATTGCCACTGCAAACCACTAACACGACCATAAACATATATGTACTTTTAATATTTGAAATAAAATAAGTATGATCTTGAGATAAATGGCTTTCTACAACTATTTTCTAGTGTTTATTATTTAGTGTGCCTTGAGCACTACGAGTATTCATAAAAATATATGGATAAATCACTCAACCATTAATACAATTTCTAAGATAATAAAAATTATCACAAACCATCAAAGTCGAATTATTTGTTGTACGTCTCCTTCTACACTTGTCTTCCAAAAAGCTCATCGCCAGATATCCAAACCATTTCGGTTTAAAATCAAAACCTTTTTCATTCATTCTATCAGCTAATCGTTTTTCTCTCAAATATTGATTTTTAACATTCTTGATCTTACGTTCGACTTCACTGGTCGAAGTATTAAAAATCTTAGCAATTTCGTTAAAAGCTGTAATCCTTCTTAATTTATTGCGATACTGCTTATGATCTGGGCTCCACAATATAGGATAACTCCGATAAACTTGGATCAACTTTTCTGTATCAGGCACTGTCCATCTTATTGCATTTCGATTTTGACCAGACATTCTTGAGAACTGGTAAATGATTTTTACATTAAGTTATTAACTTATTTTAACTTTCATACTTTAAAATTTTTTAGTTCGTCACTAATAAAAAAATAAGAAAAAATTATTTTCCTACTGAAAATAATTATTATTTTATATATTTATTTTATTATTTATTTATTACTTTATATATTAAAAATATTTATTATTGTGTATATTGAAAATATTTATTATTTTTTATAATTGTTCGTTTTGATTTATTGAAATAAAATAAGAATTTTATTTTAATTTGTCAAGTATTTTTAGTTAAAATTTGAAAGTTTTTTTACTTGCTTTTTACTTATTTTGATTTTCTTTACAATAATAACTTAACTGTATCAATAAGCTTAATACAAAATCTATAAATTTCTTGTTAATTAATTATATATTTAAAATTTAATGACAAGAAAATTAAAAATAATATCACTATCAGCAAAACTATCATCATTCAATATGTCAACAATAAATAATAATAAAATATATATTTATTTTATATGTATTTAGTTTATATGTATCTAATATAAATATATATATATTTATATATATATATATATATATATATATATATAGATATATATATATATATAGATATATATTAGGGTAGTCCTTAATGTGGACATTTTGAATTTTCTTGCTCCTTAGGGCTCAAATGGTTCCAATTTGATAAAAAACAATTCTCTGAAAGTTTTAGCTCTTAATATTAACTTTTAAATAGTGCGCAATTCAACCAGACTTCGTATGGAAATAGCACGGAAAAAAATTTAAAAATTAAAAAAAAAGTTTTAGGTGTAACTAAGCGACAAATAAATTTTTTATTGAAAATTCGACGCTCTGCAAAATTTTTGAATTTTTTTTTATGCTATTTCCATACAAAACGTTTATTGAATTACGCTCTATCTAAATTTATCTATTAATTTAAGTTATGTACCAATAATATCTATAATTGTACAATTGTGTTGTATAAATATAAATAATATTAATAAAAGACAATATTAAGAGCTAAAACTTTCAGCGAATTGTTTTTTATTAATTTGGAACCATTTGAGCCCTCGGAAGCAAGGAAATTCAAAAATGTCCATATTAAGAACCACCCTAATATATATATATATATATATATATATATATGTATATATATATATATATATATAATAGTTTTAACTACTGTAATTGATATATTATTACATACATATATGCATTAAGTTTCAACAATTTTTTGAAGTTATATTTTTGTTTTATTTTGTAAAAAAATTATGTTTGTACTCTTGCCAATACATTATAAAAATTATAACAATTAAATTTTATACAAAAAAAAAATATGATGAGGTAGTCGATACGCAAAAATATGGGTTGAATTAAATTATCATTTTAATAGAAACTATTTGGCACCAGGTGTTTCTGATACTTCTCTCAAATGAAATGATATCTTAATATGAATTATTATGATGTAAGAATAAAACAATAAAACTCTAATCGAAATAAAAATTTTACAATAAAAACATTGTAACAACCCTAAGCAACATTATATTGATCACGTTGAAAATTTGTTTAAAATATAGGTTATGTTATAATTTTGACAGCAATTATTGTTATATACAAATTGTTGGTTTAATAATTAATTATATTTATATTATAGCAGTAATATAAATTAGTAACAAACAGAAATCATAATAATTCAAAGTTTTTCTACTAAAATCAACAAGTATATAGATTCGTATTACCATTTTAAAGTAAATAATAAAATTATGTTGAATTTTTCCTAATTATGATTAATCTTTTTAAACCAAATGCAAAAAATCATGCATTGTTTATAAAATTGAACAAAAAAAAGTTTCCAAAAACATATGTCAAAATCAAACCAAATTTGTTTTTCTCCAAGTCCAAAAATTTTGTTGAGAATGCAACACGACTTTTACCAAACAAGCAATTGTCTATATTAGTCTAAATACTGACTTCTGATATTTATAAGTATTATCAAAAAATAACTTACATAAATCCTGTTGTTTCTCACTAAAAAGCTCTAATTAAACTTAAGGAACAATTTAAATAGATTCCAAAACTTGCGTGTTTTGTTTAAGTTCTAAAAAACTTTGGCACTTTGTCAATTATTACTATGGTGACGTTTGACGAATTAATTAGGGTGGTCCATGATTGTTGACAAAATTAGGAGGTGCCAAACCTGCAGTGTTAAGTTAGCTGATGTTGAGGTTGCCGAATTTGGCAATAAAGACGTTATGTTTTTTTATTTGTTTATTTGTTTTTCACAATTATAATATTTGAAAAATATTTATCTAAATATACACAAATATAAACTTTACATTTCATTTTCTTTTTTTGTTTTCACAGCAATCGGGACTAAAAGTTTTGAAGCTCTTGCTTTGAGGCATCCACCACCAGATGGCTTTTTAGAATGTAGTCCAATTAAGTGGTTTTTTATTCCATATATATTTTTTTTATTAGAAGACAATGCTGGTTTAATAGTGATGATAAATTTCAACTTATCCCAAATTATAATAATTTTTGCATGATTTTTTGGATAATTTAGAGATGTTTGTAAGAAAATGATCAATAACGGTTATTTTTCAAAAAGAAAGTAGAGATTCTAAAGAAAAGTTGCTAAAAAGCACATGGGGATAATAAATTTCAACTTATCGCAAATTATAACAATTTTTGCATATCATTTTAGATAATTTGGAGATGTTTATAAGAAATTGATCATAATGGTTAGTTTTCAAAAAGAATGAAGAGATTCTGAAAAAAAAGTTGCAAAAAAGCACATGGGGATAATAAATTTTAACTTATCACAAATTATAACAATCTTTGCAAATCATTTTAGATAATTTGGAGATGTTTGTAAGAAATTGAGCAATAACGGTTAGTTTTCAAAAAGAAAGTAGTGATTCCCAAAAAAAGTTGCTAAAAACACATGGGGATGATAAATTTTAACTTTTCACAAATTATAACAATCTTTGCATATCATTTTAGATAATTTGGAGATATTTGTAAGAAATTGATCAATAACGGTTAGTTTTCAAAAAGAAAGAGATTCTTAAAAAAAGTTGCTAGAAACACATGAGGATAGTGAAACATTTGAAGACGTTATTGGTTCAGAAAATATTTAGGTGGGGAACAACTGAGTCACATAATACAATCAATACATATACCATAATGGGTATTAGATTAATGAATGATTAATTAATTAATCAAGAAATTCACGACTACAATATTAAAAACAAAATTTGCATGTAAAACGCAAGAACAAATAAAGAACAAACCAGCAGCTTTTTGAAAATTGAATACAAAATAATTATTCTAATACAATTTTGATAGTTGTCAAGAATAATCATTAATCAACTGTCATAGTGAGCAACAATTTGGATAAAAGTAGTTTTATTGTTGATGACTATATAAATTTATCTAGAATTATTTGTCCAAATCAGATAACATTATGACGATGATTCTGTTAAACAAATACAATTTTAATATTTGTCAAGAATAATCTGTAATGAACTGTCATAGTGATCCACAAATTGGAAAAAAGTAGTTTCATTGATGATGACGATATAAATTTATCTAGAATTATTTGTCCAAACCTGATAACTTTATGACGATGCTTCTGTTAGACAAATACAATTTTAATATTTGTTAAGAATCATCATTAATCAACTGTCATAGTGATCAACAATTTGGAAAAAGTAGTTTTATTGATGATGACTATATAAATTTATTTAGAATCATTTATCCAAACCAGATAACTCTATGGCGATGCTTCTGTTAAACAAATACAATTTTATTATTTGTCAAGAATGATCATTAATCAACTTTCATAGTGATCCACAATTTGGAAAAAAGTAGTTTCATTGTTGATGACTAAATAAATTTATCTAGAATTATTTGTCTATACCAGATAACCATATGACCATGCTTCTCGTAGCAATTGGTATTCATTTTTAAATGCTATAAATACTCGAATTTTTTATGGTAAAAATGCCTAAACCTTCCACATGCAAAATAATTTTTTGTGACACTTCATCAGAAAAATTCTAATGAGGTAAAATATTTTTTCATAATATTTCGAATAAATTGTGCATATTTATTAGACGTAAAACATTCCATAAAGCAATTATACAAAATTGTGATAAAATAAATTAACAATCATAAATCACTTACTTCTTTCGACTTTGGTCATGCTCATCTGTCCGGTCTTCCTCCATCCTTTGAACAATCCCGATGTAGAAGATATTACTGCCAAAAGACCACCATTGTCTTTCTTACGGCCTCCTGCATTATTTTGGTGGTTTTTAGTGACACCACCAGCCTGCTCCAACTCCGAAGACCTGCAGGAAGACGCATCGTCCTGGCTAGGACTACGCTCGGAGTTGGCATTGCGTCTTAAGCAACCACATCCAAGCATTTTGCACAATTTATTTAAAAAAAAAATTTTATAATTTTTAAATTTATTTAACGTTTAAAATATATTTAGAAACAATAATAAAACTTTTAGTTTATTTAAAAATTGTAGCATATACTATATACACTATAGTAATCAAATTAATTAACAAAGTTTTATTTATTTATGTATAGATTATTATTTAAGAAGCAAATTACTTCTTTATGTAATTTTGAAGTATCATTTAACACTTAGCAGTTACAGTTAAAATTTTATTGGTACTATTATCAATTAACAGATGATATTTATTTTTATGTATAATCTAAAATTGTCATTTTTTAAATAAGAAACTAGTATCTTTAAAAGAATTTCCTAAATTTTTACTCTACGTTGTACTTTTTACATACTGATACATATTTGTTCCAAATCTGATATGGATTAACCGATATATTTTTAATTTACTTTTACACATACTATCAAAATAAATTTTATTTTTTGTAAAACTTTTATCATATATATTTCTAAAATTTCGGATATTTGATATTTTGATATTGAAACACTGCTTACACTTCACACATATTTTAAATTTCAATTTAAAATTCAATATTGTTATTTATAATTTTAATAAATCCTAAAGATTAGAATTTTTTTTACAAACTAATATATTCAGTTGATTTTTTTAGCTAATCTACGCGTTATCTGAAAAATAAAAATATCAATTAGAAAATTCAGAATTAAATATAGGTATATATATCGTATATATGAGATAATATGCAGCTCATTCGTTGAATTAAAAAAAGTTAATATAGAAAAAAATTCGATGTTTCGATACTTGATGTGTGTCATTCTGCAGTCTAAAATCTATTAATACCATGATAACAAGGACTTTAAAATTATTGCAATTTAAAGCGAAAGCTTTGTATTTTTTTCAATTGTTTGTGTTAATTTGTAATTAATATTCAAATTATTGTTATCATTGTATTAATGCATTTTAGACTGTTAAAAGATGACACTTATCAAGTATCAAAACGTCGATTTTCTTTTCTATATTAACCTTTTTTCAATTATATAATTTCAAATAAACTATAGAAATGCCATAATATAATTTACAATATTTATTTGTACAAACAATATTTCTAAAGAAGTATGGTAATAATCTGTAGAAAACAAATTTTCAAGATAATATAGATTTTTATTTATTATATCGTAATCATTCACGTTAAAAGTAAGTTCTGATACAGAAATATAATCTAAATAAAATGTTTAAATTTAAATGAAAACTTATTTTAGAAAAAACTTAGAAGTAAATGTGTACATCATATGAAATGAACCAAAAAGTATTAAGGTTCAGGGAGTTAGTACAATATATAACTAATATGAAATAATAGATTTCTCATCACATTCCATAAAGGTTGATGATTAAATTTCAGGTTCCAGGTAATGATAAAAAAATTTAAAATTGTTCTAATCTAGAACAAAAAAATCCTCAAGAAAATAAAACTGGTTTCGAAAAATTCATTCGGCTCTATTAGCATATATAAAAACAAAACATAATAAAATCAGGATTTAGACTTTAAACATAAAGCTTGCTTAAATAATAGTTAGATCAAATTTTTAACAATGTTTTGAAAGTATGAGTCTCTGGAATCATCCAGAGTACTAAATACCATTGGCGATTTAACACGTTAAATTTGAAACTATTTGAACTACATAATCTATCGTATGTGGAACTGAATTCGCGTTGCTTTGTTCCTCAAAACCAAAACCATTGATAATTACCTTAACATACTTCAAACTGTAATTTAATACATTTAAACAATGCGATATATACTGATTTCGGACTGAATTTACTCCTATTGCTTTGTATTTATAATACATGTGCTGAACTAATGTTATGTGAGACTAATTATTCTAGGAATAATAATAGTGATAAATGATAAAACTAGAGGGGTGCGTGGCATCGTGCCTTAAGGAAAATTGCTGGAACTTACCGTACCGTAATTAAAAATCTTGGTATGGAACCCAAAAACATTTACAATAAATGTGTACACATTATTAAAATCTGTATAAAATATCTGATAATTTGATGTACATATGTCCAATAAACATTTTTGACCGCCAAATGTCATTTTTTGCTTACTTTTATTGAGAGTCTATAACCGCTGGACCTGCCTTCCTGCCGAAATTTTATCAGTTTTTCATCTTGTCAATACAAGTAAAATGTTTTTTGAATTATTAAAATCGGTTGATCGGTGTTACCGAAATCGTCGACGAAAATTTGTATCCGCACACATATACACATCCCTTTTTTCTAAGGTATGCCAAAATATTTAGAAACCTCTGAAACGTAAAGATACATAAAAATTTTTTTTTCGATTTTTTGCGATAACTACAAACCCTACGGGAAGTTAATAATAATGATCACAATAATTTAAATAAAATTTCGAATCCATTATAAATCCCTATTTTTAGTGAATTACTAAAACTATTTCTCAATTACAAATTCCTTTCTAAAATCCAATGCCCCGACAGTTGACAACGTACAATGCAAAACTATTTGCGAAAGTTCTTTGAAATCTATATTTAAATATAGTTTGTCAAACAAAATAATTAAACTGTTCGTTAAAGAAATATGCAAATAACATCACTCGGGCGTTAAATTGTAGCATTGTATTACACTTGAAATATTTTTGAGAGCTCTGAATTCGCAGCAAATGCATCATTGAAAAGGTCATCAAATTTAAACTCGCTCAATACACCCACACTTTTAATCAGATTATGCAAAATAGTAAAACTTGACTCCAGATTAAATTGAAACCAGATTCAATTAAAACTATGTTCAATTCATTTTTCAGCTCTTCATATTGTATTATTTAATAAATTTAATAAAATAATTTCAATAAATTTTAATTTTAATAAATTTAATAAAATATGCTTAATTATATTGAACAAGATCTGAATATGAGACCTAGAAAAATCTCTGTACGAAACAGTGTTTTTTTATATTTAGTTTTTATAACTATTCTATTTTATAACTATATTCAACTAGCAGATACATGAATTGTATATCGTATTTTTCTTATTTTGAATCAATATATTGTCGAATTTTCTGAAATTAAATGCCAATAAAATTACCCAATTTTCTGCTTTATGTCATATATATGTGTAACTTGTAATTGTATGCAAAAGTGTTAAAATATTAGAAAAGAAATGAAAAATCATCATGCTTTTCATATGATTGAAACCTTGAGTGATAAAAAAATATAATGCATTTTGGAGTATCATCTTATACGATTTTTTTATTAATTTTAAATGCTGATGATGGCTGCTGGTGATGATGATACCTAATACTGATATTTAAACAATTTCATTGCATAATGAAAACTATGTATTTTTGCAAATAATATGATAGTGTAATTATTACCAATGTTACAAATCGCAAACAAACAAATTTAATTTGATTATCTAAACCAATATTTTCTATATTCAGTTAAAATTGTACCATTGGAATATTCTTATATTAAACATACTTCCGAATTAGAAAATTTATTATTAGATTTAAGTTAAAGAAAAATGTAGAGCTTATATTTTATTTTAGAAACAAACTAAAAGCAATTTAAAATAAATAAACTCAAAAATCTATCTCTAAATTTAAAATGTGTGTAATATGTAAAAATGTTGAAATGCTTGAAAACCAATAGTTAAACGTATCCTCTAGAAAAATACGATGTTTTTCTTGTTATATATGTTGAATTTCATAAAAAAACAACCTCGTGATTCTGCAGTATTATTCAAAGCAAATTATTTGTTCAGAGCCAAACTTTTTTCATTTCCAGAATTTATAATTCATTTCGTGATTGGCATAGAAATTATGCAAATCTCAGCCTCGTATAATTATCACGCAGCTTCTTAATTCAATTATTTAGGGTTTATCTCAGAAGGATTATGTACACTTGCAATTTCAAAGCTTCCTTTCGCTGGATGTCATTCAAACAATTTAAAAAATTCCATTTCATCTAGAAATGATACATATTATAATTATGAAACCAGAGGTATAAATAATAAATAGCATCCATGTCCTTTCCGTTTTATAATTCTATTTAAATTCACGTGGCTTTTCTGAGAAAAAGTATACAAGACGCTAAGAAGATTTATGGTAATACTTCTCGTTTTATTTACACTGATTTTTCGTCAGATTAAAAGATTTAAATTTATCTCATGATATAAAATGAATGGAAACATTTCTGCGGTTGTAGGCGAACACACACCTTATGTATATATACATATATATTAAACATTATGAATAAAGTTTAAAAGCTTTATAAAGAAAAGCTACAATAACAGCGAAAAAAAAATTACACTACAGTAACGATTGAGAATCAAAAGAGGAAAAATTAAATAATGTAAGTATTTCAAAAAGCTCTATAAACTAAATTCTGTTCTTCAGTTTTCTCGTTATATAAAATCCCCAAAGTTCAGATTTAATTCTAAGCTTCGTCTAATGTCGAAAACTACTCTAATGAAGTACTGGTAAGCTTGAATAATCGTTATTATTCATCTTGTGATGACAAACTCTCAAGGAATTAATCTGAGCCCTTATTTCAACATTCAGATGAAACGAAAAGCAAAGGGAAAATATATCAAAACTTGATGGATTTCCCAGATATTACCATAAATACACAAAATTACTTCTTCGGCGCCAATTATTGATGTGTGTGACTTATCAATTTGGAATTTTCTTCTGAACATGACTTTGTTATACTTTCACAAAGTGGAAAATAGAATAAAAAAATATGTTACATTGAAGTGATTGTAAAAAAATGTTGGTATTATCAGCAGCAAATTGTGTAATATGTACTTGTATATTAAAATCCAAATATGGAAAATTTGCTAGAACTACTTCATAATTTAATGGCACTTAAAAAAATTAACAAATAGAATATAGAATAAAGTATGATACGAATTATTACAGAGCAATAAACAAACATTTTCATAAAATTCCAAACCTTCAGGAATATCATTCA